GTTTCCATGACCAACTGTGGGAGAATACCACGTAAGAAAAGTGCGAACTCCGGGATCGATGGCTGCAACGTGAATTTTTTCCGCGGATAGACTTTCCGTATACCCATACAAATGTCCAATATCCTAGTTTCCTCTCCTAGTTTCCTCTCGTATATTAGCTTCGAGTCCATTTTAACTTTGCCAGTCTCATTCGGCCAACCATAATTGCGTCTTCGATGTTCATGATGAAATGGCAGCTTCATTTTGTGACGTAGATGATTAGGATCAAGCGCGTTATTATGTAGGAGCCTGATATAAAAACGGAGTGGTTCGCGACAGTATTGAGCACGGATGGTAATCGTCTGACGATCATTTTCTTAGATCCAAAATGAAGAACATGATGTTGATGTTGATTCTCCTTATTCCTTGCGAGAAGAGATGAAATGCGAGTAATTATTGTAAGACGGTGAAGAAAATATTCTTTCCGTAACGCTGTCCAAAGCATTTGATAGGTGTTTCTTTAGCTTTATGCAATATCTAGTACAACAATAAAATACTTTGTATTATTTTATAGCTAGATTAAGATTTGCAATTAAGCAATTTAACTTTATGTAAATAATAGTGATAGATAAAATTATATCAGTTTGTAGCTTAAGTTTTTAATCTTTTTTCCATATGAACAACAATCGATTTCGCTAATTTTTAACTTTATTTAGTATTGAGTTAGATGTCCATTATTCAAGATACGTGCTTCAAAAATATTCCAATTAATAACACCGTATGCGTTATTAAACTAATGGCAAAAGGGTTCTATAACATGACATATTTACTTTTTTATTTATATGCAAAAAAAGGCGGTGGCAAAAAAGAAGTAAGAACACAACAATGTTAATATTATAACAAAATAAATATTATTTTTATTCTATAAAATCAAGCTTGAATTTGTTTTTTCTTTAAGTAACATTTTAAGCTAAACAATTGGCAAAATTGAAATTGCCTTCTGCTTAATTATTTATTGTTCAAAAAAGTTAAACTCTTCAAAATTAAATACGAGTTTTGGAATTCTAGGCTACAAACTGATATAAAAATTTATATACACTGCCCTACCATAAATTACCGGATTTCGTGGGTTTTTACTAGTAAAACATATGAAGTCTTTTTTTCAAAAATCTTTCCTGCCAATGCGTACTATGTGAACGACAATAGTTTTTGTATGGTTTTGAAGCTAATTAATTGTGCTTTTTGAAAATAATCAACAGCAAATTATATACATTTTTGTTATAAACTGTAAAATCAAGGAAGTAAGGGTATGTGTACTCCATATATAATCATATATTTTTATACCATAGTTTAAAGACTCACATCACAAAGCTATAGCTTTATAATGATTATGTATATAATTTACCGTTAACTTTTTTCGAAAAGCACAGTTAATTAGCTTCAAAACCATACAAAAACTATTGTCATTCACATAGTACACATGGGCAGGAGAGACTTTTCATATGTTCTACTAGTAAAAAAACATGAAATCCGGTAATTTATGGTAGGGCAGTGTAGTTTGAGAGACATTATAAACAGACGCCAACTGTTCAGTCCAATAACTTGATCAAATTATCTGAACGGGTTTAGTTATCGAAAGTTCGAAGCAAATTTGTTACTTTTTATATAGCAGAAAGTTTTGATTAATCTTATTATATAGAATTTCTTGTGCTGTATTAGTATATCGATTTCTTGTTATAGAAAGTCGGTTACTCCAATCCAGAATTCTATAGAGAACTTTACTTGTAAGTAAAAATTTATACAAAAGTTGATTGGGCAAACGCTGTATTGGACAAATAATTAAACTAGAATTTTGATGGGATATCTATCATATGGCTTGTGCATTATTAATGAAACCCATATCTTTGGACAATTTTGTTATCGAATTCTTGGAATCTTGTTTTGCAAAGTTGTATTTAACGTCCAAACATGCGTTGTTAAAATAGATACGGTCCTAGTAATAATAATAAGCGGATTTTAGATTGCCTATAATACATCAGATGTAGCACGCCCTTTTTATTTTTCTTGCGGCCTGATTGTCTGGTTATAATGCATAATGTCATTTATATTTCTCGAGATTGACTTGCCGATAATTGTCATGGTTGCTGGATCAATGAACATAAAGTCTGTGGTGTTGAATTTCTTAATGCTCTTTAACTCTCCAGCAGAATGTAACTTAATGAAATAATTGAACTACTGTATCTAGTATTTATTATTTCGCTTCTATTGCTGTAGATTACTATTAAAGTCCTGAATTGTGCCCCACAATATGTCGGTTCTTTTATAGTTAGACGTATGATTGAACGTTAAATATAAAAGCGTACTAGCGCCTTAGCATTAGGTTTTGTTATGCATGCACAGGACAAATGTAGTATATTCTATAATACATTGTGTGACCAAGCAAATTTAGATGTGCGACACTTTTTGATGATTAAGTTTGATAGCTTGCGCCCCAATGAATATTACCAAATTAACTTTATATCTGAGCACAAGGCGCACTTGAGTATGGTGTGATTGTCTGCAGATACTGCGTAGAGGTAAGTTTAGTACATAATATCCGTTCAGTTATTTACTTTTTCGTTCACATATATTTTTGTTACGCATACAATTAGACTTACATGAGATTTATAAATATCAGTCGATTCGCTATAGCCATGACCAATAAGCAGTCCGTTACACGAAGAGCCAGATACGACGGTTGTTGTCAATAAGAAGCTTCCACGCTCACTATCAACTCCCTGTATCTTTACACTAAACAATGGCTGCTGTTTTACCCTACGAGATTCTTGGGATTATTTTGAATGAATGCGCTGATGATTGCGGTGCTCTTTACTCATGTATTCTAATCAACAAAACTTGGTATAGTGTAGCCATTCAACACCTCTGGGCCAATCCTTTTTTCCTGCATCGCTCAAAATCTTTCAACAGAAATAGAGCAAAAAACCTATTAATTACGTTTATTGAATGTTTTACTGATATTCACATTGTCAAGGGAAGTTACAAGCTCTTGAGAAAAAGATATAGGAAAACACCGGCATTTGATTATAGCTTATATTTAAAAACGATTTCCTCACCTGCACTTGCAACTCTTGTTACTGTTTGGCTTGATACAAACATCATGGAAGAAGTTGAAACAATAGCTGTAAGAATTATTTATTTAGCCATTCAATATTGCCAGCAACTAAGAACGATTCATCTTGCACGACTATCCACTGAAGCTCCTTGGCTACATCTGAACCAGCTCCTTGTTTCTATAAAAAGTCTGCCCCAATTGAGACGTTTTACATGGAGAGGAGATCTATGTCTGGAAATCCTCGACAAGTTTTCAAATATAGCCCATAATTTGGAATTTCTATCAATCAACTTTGAAAGAAAAAACTATTATTATTTAAATGAGGAATCAAATAACAGTTTGCACAAACTCATAGAGTCCCAACACCAATTAAAGGCTATTGAAATACATAATGTTTCTACCAACATGGGATCAATTTTGGACTTGCTGAAATCACGGTCTGACTCTCTCGAATCGATTTACTTTGGTGAAGTAAAATTTAATTCTGATCATTTACTTTTTAAACCAGTTAAATTAAGTCAATTGAAGAATATCACCATGAATAGCTGTAAAATACTATGCGAAAATGGACTAAATTCACTTGCTATGGCCGAATTACCACTGTTGCAACAGTTAGTTGTCGAGTACTGCCATATACCGTGTATGGCTTGGGAACGATTGCTATTTTACCACGGAAAGAAGTTGATTGATATTAATGTTTCTGGACAAGGGATGTCTGAGAAAAAATTTGAAGTTATATCGCAAACGTGCCACAATCTCAGGCATTTATCTGTTTATGTGTATAGCAACGAGCAATTACTCTTTATTGCGCATACAATGAAAAGTCTGCCGACTTTGCATTGTGTTAAGCTAATCCAATGTTTATTTTCTAATTATAACTATACACATCTTTTCGATATTTTTGCTAAATGTCATCTTCCACATTTAGATCATTTAATATTGTTTTGCAGTTGTAATTATAGTGCTAATAATAATATTAATAATAATAATAATGGCAAAAATTTTGAAGTTGACTCTCTAAAAGAGTTTTTGTCTAAATCGAGCCCGCCACTAAAGACATTAATAATTTTTGGCGAAGATGTTACTGACGAGCACCTTGATGTAATACTCGATCATCTTAGCGATACGATAAGAGTTTTGAGAGTCGATACCAATATTGATTCAGTTAGTGACAAATGTTTTGAACGAGTAAAAAGTGTAGTTAAGGAGTTTTCTACTAAAAGATATTCAGACTACCTGCAATTTAGATGTAATGCAGAAGAATGTAAAAAAAGGTTAATATGATTGGATTATAAAAGTTTTTATATAACATGTTGATTATTAAGAAATGTTAATAAACTCAAAGTTTGTCAAACCCTTGTGTTATTGATCGAGAGTTCTGTAACCAGTAAATTGGAGCTTATGAAGAAGGTGTAAGCTTTAACCGTTACGAAAACATAAGCTAATGGTCAAGTTATGCCTGAAAACATAACCTAAACAGGCAGTCCGCTTTGTCGTTAAATTAATTTATGTAGGGCAGTCAATTATATGTTACTAATATTGGACGAATGGTCTTTAGTGCTCTATGTTTTTTTAGTTCAGCTCAGTGTAATACAAAGTAAAAAATGTAATTTCTGTCATAATTTTTAACAAAAGCTTCCTTAATATTAATGCATCAACCCTACATCAACGAAGATAATGGCTCAAAACACTCTTATTACTTTAGTATAGTAATTAGCAACAATAAATCCCCGTGTCACATAGTCGTGCCATTGTTTGGCGTTGTCATCATTCTAGAAGCCTACCTAATTAATCCATTGATCAAAAAATTCCTCGATGCCTATAAATACGAAAAATGCAGTATTTTTACGTATGAAAACAAATGACCGACACACGGAATCTTCTCCGTCGAGCTCCACCTCCTCCCACAGAAGTTCCTCCCCTTATAGCGTGGATAGACCCTCCTACACAGAGATACTATGCATTCTGCGTGTTTGTAGGAATTTGGAGTATTAAGCTGGGGCGATTGCTTATATCTCCGCGGCCTACACCTTTGGGTATATGGTGGTGGCACCTGCTGGATATAGCTTATGTTATAATTGTACGTTATCTGAGAATACCCTGGCTTAGACCGAGTCTATTTAAGACTATTTTGCTCATACTGCTATTATGTCTTGTTAATTATTCTATAGTACATCCTGCTTGGGTGAGTATAATGAAGAATACGCGTTCGTGTTTCATGAATTGAAAGTCTATTTACCGACTGAGACTTTTTGAATGATAGATACTTGAATGGACAACATCTAGACCTGTCGCAAGTGTATTGTCATCGTCATCCACGTTTTGTGAGTAGAAAAGTAGAGTAATGAGGGAAATTGAGAATCACCTTTATTTATACTAACACTCAATTATCGCCAATAAGTAACATCAGGATACCAGAGATTCTTTGGTGAAAAGGTTCATGCGATAAGCTCACAAGGAATAATCAAAATAGATGGTGCGTTCTCGCTCTATCCAGAATTTTTGTACATTCCGGATTTACTATAACATTCTTGCACTTTGTGTTGACTACATGTTATTTTGTCATTGTATTCATTGCTTTACCATTTTCTTTTATTACAGAGTTGAGACACAACACGTCGCACATCAAAGGAAAACACATAGTCCGCTTCCTTCCCTATGCCACTGCAAAACTCAATCCCGAAGACGACAGATTCTGTTTGCAACGCGTTCCACGCGTCGAAGTTGATGTCCCCGTATTGTTTAACAACTCCAAACCCTGGAAATTAGAGTATTCACACATAGATCCGGATACAAACGAGAAGACATATGTTAACATGACGAGGAAACTATTACAGAGGAGACTAATAAGCGACGAGATTGCTAATACATATCTAGTATACATTCCAATCGAACATCCTGGAGCATATAGACTTGAGCAGGCATGGGACAAGGATAACATGAACATCAAGACTTATAGAAACGAAGTTATCATTTCTTATTGTCCGACTGCAAAGTTTGTTGCCAGACACAGTTCGGACCGGTGCATTGACGATGACATCAATGTCGATTTAATATTGCAGGGAGTGCCACCATTCAATGTCAGATACGAGAGACTGGTCGACAACGCTAGCATCAATATGACAATTAGTGGAGTAGCTCCCGATCGTTATGTCTCGCCGATTATGGGCGAACAGGTTTTGTCACATGATTATACTTGGGCGCGCGATCGAGTAGTAGAAGTACCATTGAATCTAACAGCTGATACGGCTGCAGCGTACACTTTAAAGTTGGTTGATATTCAGGATGGATTAAATAATACCAGGACATTTAGTGGGAAAAGATTACAGGACGATACCGTAATGTTCCTCGTACATCCTCGACCATATGCAAAGTTGTTATCCGATTCTACGGTAAAAGTGAGGCCAGGAAAATCGACAAACTTGTCATTGGAGCTTGGCGGAGAAGGTACGTGTGAATGATAGGTGGGGGGTTTGTTGTAAAAACTATTGACTATTTTGATATACTCACTCTGTTACGCTGTTGATTAGGACCGTGGTCTATAACTACTGGTTATTGGGCAGAAGATGTTGCTAAAGACGGCGACTCTTCGGCTCCTAATAAAGTTGACAACGTAAAGTTTCTCCCGAATCATGATACTTCTATTATTGTATCCAAGCCCGGAATGTACCAGTTGTTATCGGTATCAGATGCTTTCTGTCCTGGGCAAGTTCTCGTTCCATCTAGTTGTATCGTAATTGAAGTGCAACCGCCGTCAGTAAAAATAGAGGCAGTACCTATACCAGCAATCGATTGCCCTGGTGAAATAGGACAAGAGGTTACTGTATCGCTCACCGGAACTCCACCATGGTAAATATGGATATTTGGTTAATCGGATAAAAACAGACGTGATTACATGATGAGAAAAGACACGGTAAACATATTTTACGGGAACAACACTCACTACTCTTATTTATTTAGGTCATTACATTATTCCATAATCACAAAGCATAATGAAATAACCGACTTTAAGAAAATATTCAAGTCGAGGCATACGTTTACTATCATGCCAAAGACATTTGGTCGACATGAATACAGGTTCTTTCTTCTAAGGGACGGATTTTATGACGAGGGCGTAAATATCGATCACAGAATTACCCAAGTAGTCCACCCCAAACCAGACGCAACGTTCAGAACAACATATGGAAAGGAATTAAATACGTGCGTTGGTAATAATGTCGAGCTGGACGTTGACTTTTCAGGAAGCGGACCGTTTACATTAGAGTGAGTAGACACAGAGTATTTTTGTCCGTAATTCACTGTGCATAAACAACACACATTTATTTTTATTTGTGTAAAATTCTTTATGTAGGTATGAAGTCGTATTTAATAGAAGGAAAAACACGTTTACAGTTGGTGATATCAAAAGCCTTAGTCATGTTATTAGTTCTCCTCCATTCGATAATCCCGGAACATATACCGTAACGCTGGTCAGAGTAACCGACGCGAAAGGCTGCAGTAACAGTCTCAATGCATCAGATGACGTTACAATACACGTAAAGAAAGATAGACCAACTGTCGGATTCAGAACCGATGGCGAAGCGATAAAGTTCATCGAAGGGGAAAGAATAGACCTTCCATTACAGCTGACAGGCCATTCACCATGGGATATTGAATACAGATCCCTCAATGACAGTAGCAAGGCACGCATGACGGCTCACAACCTCAAAGATCCAAATGCCCATGTAACAGTCGCATTACCTGGTCTGTACGAATTACTATCGGTCAAAGATTCATTCTGCACAGGCGAAGTTGTCGAGAGTATGCGATTTATCCGTGCCGAATGGCTACGACGACCAACGCTGCGAATAGCCGATGGCGAGGCAACTCTGCTGGATGTACCCAACTACTACGAGCGTAAACCAGTATGCGAGGGCACAGAAGATAGCGTAGGAGTAATTCTTAGTGGCCGCGCTCCATGGGTAATATCATATAAAGTAACAGGCGAGGGCGAGCCCATGCTTCAGCGCGAGACCATTGGATTTCCATCCACTCGTATACGACTATTGACAGAGTCTCCCGGCACCCATACCTACGAATTCAAAACTATAGCTGATGATGTATACACATCACCAACCGACATATCGTTAACGCTCCGACAAATAGTCATATCCAATCCAACTGCTCTTTTTATCCAACACAAAACTTTCAATCAATGTGTAGGCGAGACTCTACCGTTTTCGCAATCACCCAAGATCCAACTCAAAGGCATTCCGCCATTCACTCTAACTATCGAGACAAAGAACGAGAATAGTAATCGTATCGATACGCAAGTAATCCATAATATCCCTGATGAGGTGTACACGTACGTACCACCCAAGTTTATGGCAATCGGTAATTACTCGATTGCTATAGTAAAAGTTACCGATGCGCAAGGATGCAGTCGCAAACAACATACCGAAGAGAGTAAACTGAGAGTAGAGGTTAATGATGTAGCTAGTATCGAAAAGTTAATTCCTCAGGATATTCACTGCGTGGGCGATCTATTGGTATATCAACTACAAGGGACTCCACCGTGGGTTATTCATTATACTTACAATGGAGAGAAGAAGAGTGTGATATCCAATACTCCAGATTATACTTTTGGAGCTGACAAGCCTGGGAATGTGACTATCATGAGTGTGTGTCATTTAAACGAACAGTGCTGCGGTTATCCAAAGGGAATGTCTGAGGTTATATATGATTTGCCTACTGCTATTATATCATCTGGAAAAGAAACTATCAGTGATATACGTGAAGGTGAAAAGGACGAAATTGTTATTGAGTTTATCGGTAATGTATTAACGTTATCATTTAGCCGCCCCATTTGTTCGTTGCTAAAATATTCCACTACGGTTGTTGTTGCAGGCATTTCTCCGTTCAGATTCAAGTATAGTCGAAGCGAAATTTTGCATAAAGGTAAACCAGGCCGTGTGCTCGAAACTCAGACAGTGACCAATGTCCACGGACACAAACATTCGTTGTTCGTATCGCAAGAAGGTAAAGTAATGAATACGGGATAAATATTGTATTCAACACAAATTCTTGCTAACGCTATTCTTTTTTTTTTTTTAACTCGGGCTAATTAGGCATATTCCAAGTAATCTATATAGCAGACAAGTATTGTGACTATCCAAGAGAGGGTACAACGGTTAGCGTGTAATTAAACGGCCAATGTTGTGTATAAGAAATATCGTATTTTAGAGATAAATAATATCACACATACATTTGTAAACTTTTCATCCCAAATTAAAATAGACGCAGAATAAAAAATCCTGCAATTGTAGTTACAAAATCAGTCAACATGCATTAGCAAGTGACAAGCATAAGTTTTCGATAATTTGGTTGATGGCAATTGATAATCGTATTACGCGTCGCTCGTTTTGCTATTCACGTAAAAATATTTGATCTCTATCAAAATTCAATGCTAGGGGAATTGTTAAAAAGGTGAATCTATTTAAATATTCGAAACAAGCAGTCTCACTCTATTTAACAAGCATAAGTGTTATATTTTATAAAATGACCCATTCTCTTAACTTACAAAAACGGCATGTTTATTTAAACATTTGGCGTTCCATAATTACCAGATACAATTTTTAGACTGCATAAATTATACACTTATCTCTATTGCACAACACTTTCTCAGTACTTTAAGCAATAACTTCGAACATATACGATTCCTAATCTAATGCCCCAAATATTATCCGGAACGTTAACGTCTCGCTAATCTGTCGTTAGTAAAATGCGGTGCTTGTGGCGGCGGCGGTGTCTGTAATGGACCTGGAGGATAAGACGGCACATGAGGAGGCGGCTGATTATATGGATTAGGCGGTTGAACAGGTGACATCACGTGTTGTTGGAAATCCCTTGACTGCGGTTGATGATAGGGATTTGGTGGTTGATGAGGTCCTCCAGTAGGTGACACCATGCGTTGTTGGAAATCCCTTATCGGAGGCTGTTGATAACTGCCTTGTTGCTGAGCAGGTGGGAAATTCCCGTATGCATATTGCGGAGGTTGGTGCTGTAATTGTTGCTGCGGAGGCGGTTGTTGGTGTTGATGTTGAGGTGGCTGTGGTTGTTGACGTTGGTGTTGGGGAGGCGGCTGTTGCAAATTTGGTAGAGGTGGTTGTTGAAGAGGTGGTTGTGGGTATTGTTGCTGAAGAGGTGGCTGTGGGTATTGTTGTTGAGGCGGTTGTTGTGGATATTGCTGTTGAAGAGGTTGCACGTATTGCGGTGGTGGTCGCTGAGGTTGGTATTGAGGTTGTCCCCCTTGATGTTGTAGATAATGGGGAGATGGTGGCTGATGGAGATGTTGAGGTGGTGGCAGCGGCTGTTGATGATGATGTTGAGGAGGTAGTGGTGGCGGCGGCGGCGGTTGTTGTTGAGATAGTGGTTGTGGCGATTGCTGATGCTGAAGCGACAGCGGCGGCGGTGGTTGCTGATGTTGAAGTAATGGTGGTGGCGGTTGTTGATGCTGAGATAGTGGTGGCTGGTGTTGAAGCGGTTGCGGCGGCGATGGGTGCATTAAATGTGGTTGCTGTTGCATATGTTGCAGATTTGCTTGTAAGTGTGCCTGCGGGGGTGGTTGTTGCTGCATACTTGTCTGCAGATGTGCCTGTGGGGGTAGTTGTTGTAAAGATAATCTGCGAAAAGCTTGTTCCGGTGGCGACATGGCCGAAGAATGACGAAGATCTTCTCTTAACTTTTGCTGCTGTCGGTCTGCTATAGTGCGAACAAGATTGTCTCTCTCTTTTTGCCGTTCATCGGCGAAGTTATTAGCAGTCTTTAATAAGTTATTAATTGACTCTGATAGATCATTGTAAAATTCGAACCCTTTCCTAATAACGAGAACTGACAAGGTAAATGGATATTCAAGACCATAGAACATGATTGAGATTATTATATTACATACCTGATCCCTTCTTTGACTTCGATGTAAGTATCCTTGGCTTTTCTGAATCGCTCAACGACTTCTTTCCTCTTTCGTTCAGCCTGTTCCCATCGGCTTTGCACTGCTCGCGCTTCATCGCCTTCCATCAAGCTCCTATGAAAAGCGTTCAGTTGGTGCAATAGCTTTTGTTGTTGATGGATACTGGCTGTAATCCTATTTTTATACGGAATAAACTTCTCAAGCTCAGTTTGAAACAACTGTGGCTCGATGTTTTGAGTCTTCTTGTTTAATATAAGCAAGTGAGATATATCGTCTTGGTGCGTCTAATGAATGAAAAGCAATAACATTTAGTTATCAACCAAGTAACAGATTTTTGATGAACAACAAGAATTGAACCGAACATTTGGTCGACACATACTTTTTCTTTCAAATCGCTTAACGTGTCCATGCGTTCTTTCCTCACTTTATTCAAATTTCCAATGCACTCTTCAATTTGACGCACTTTGGAGGGCATGCTCTCTTCTGGCTGAACATTGTCTATATCCAATATGTTATCACTAGCCCGTTTTCCATTTACAGCAGGTGTATCGTTGCTTATTGAAGCCAAGGCTTCAGCAAATGTTGTCTCCAACCGATCCCCATTTGCTCCACCACTTAAAATAGAAATATCGTTCATGCATTGCTCTAACATTTGCGCAAAGTGACGGTCATTGGTTTCAGCCTTATCAAGGTTCTCCCGATGCTTGCGTAGATCATTTCTAATGAAACTAGTAAGCGGTCCGGATGTTGCCTGAGTCCATTCATCGACATACTTAACCTAGTATAGTCACGTCATCCGATTAGAGTAGTTCAGGAAATCACATACGAAAAGTGCACGGCAAATGCAATACCTAGACCCAATCCAACATGTCTTTCTTACCCTCATATCCTCACATGCTCGTTGCTCCGCGTCGAGAATATGTGAGATGTCGTCCAACATTTGTTTAGCTTTGTTATTCTTCAAGTCCTCAACAGCACCTCGCAACTCGTTAATTGGAATCTTGTTAATTTCATCGTCTCGAATACAATCTGCCCATTCACAAACTTCTGGGGTAGGAATAGCCAATTCGTCCAAAGATTTCGCGCTGTTTGTGCTCTTGAACTTTTCAAGCATTCCAGGTAACTTCATGTCAATCAGGGATGTCTCTAGTTCAGTGTTAGCCAAGTCGCATCGTTCTGTTTCACCCCGAACAATTTTTGCCTTCTCCTCAGAGTATAGTGAAGCAGATTCATGTACTGAAAACGGAATAAGACGTTGAAACATATCCGGACCAATTACTTTCTTGATATCATTTGCGTTATATAGTTCCTGAATAGAAATGGATTTAACAGCATTAATTTTATCTATTGGAGTAAGAACACTTTCTTGCGGTACAGCTTCATTGTATATTATATCGTTATCGTTTGTTGCTGAATTTTTCTTTTCGGCTATCATAGCCGCATTTGCTTTTGTGAGCTCTTGTAATGAAGAAGCAGCATCTGGCATTAGAGTCTGTGTTGATGAAGGAGAAAATGATGATACAAAGCTGTTTGCAAGCTTGCTGGCTTCTTTAGCCAAAGTATCGGCAACATTAAGACGTGCAACACATTCACCGTATTGACGATCTGCTTCGCATGCCAATGCTTTTTGATATTGTGAGATCGATGATATATATTTATGTTTTATCTAAGAGAATAGATTAGTTAGCTGTAGAGGATTTTATACGAATGGCATGCAGTATTCGGTTATACATATACTCACTTGACATAAGGATAGCCAACTCTTGTCAAAAATACTCTTGTTCACAAAATCAGTCATATTTTCTACAATATTGCCATACGACCATCCCGCCTGCGAAGCTAATTTAGCAACAAGAGCAAATGTTTTCTTGGCCCCAATACTCAGTTCTAGATAGCACTCTTGAGCCTGCGTCAACATTAGCTGTGACAGCAATTTAACAACTTCGCGACTCAAATCGGTTGAGGGCGCATGGAGAAAGTTATCGTTTATGTAAGCATACATTCCAGCAGATGCCTGAAAGTACGTGGATGCACGTTTTAGTCCATCAGATTCGAAGCGATTCTGCGAAGCCGCGATTGCAGATAGAACCGATGCAATGTTGAATATGGTGCTGGCTTTCTCATATGCAAGAGAAAATTGAGAGGTTGTTTTTAGTGTGAAGGCGTCGTACCTACGAAAAATTGTTGCGGCCAGTATATTTTATGATTCAAGAGATCGACCGACCATGCATGCATGAGTGAAAGCAGTTAATCAAGAGATACATTCAATCTGCATCTTTTGCATATTATTAATCGTCAGTAACAATCCTTACCATGTGAATGATACCCGAATATGGCTTTCATCGACTGGAAACCTCAAGTCAAGTAATTCCAACTGGCCATAATATCTGTATAATAGGTCTCTCCCAGTCAGATCCTTCCCGGCACCTCTCATATCTTGTCGTAAACGATGTATCGTCATGCATTCGTCAGCATATTTCTCCGGGTCTTCCTGATATGTCGTGTGTATGTAGCGCTTCAACGGTGTTGCCCAGTCGACTTCGTCCGTCTTTTTGGACGGCGCATGTATCATAGGACTTTGATTCATATTAATTATTTATAGATCGACTAGATCTTGCTTTACAACGGTTCAGAATTCGTGGACAGGCCGAAAAAGCCAAGTGCCCTCGCCCAAATGATCTCCTCTTATGCTACAAGTGTCATGATTGGCCGTCGTGTAAAATAATGACGTAACGACCCTAATAAGAGATCATAATGATAAAAGACTTGTCAATCGACACTCCGATACAAATTACAGTAAGTAGTAATGCAGAACCTTTACTACCATGGGAGTAGAGAAAGGTGTAAACCTTATTGTTATTCTATCAAATTTATATAGGAAAATGTCTAATGGCAAATTAGTCAGATATGAATCGGTCTGCCTGCCGTAACGATTGTCATCTAGCATACGTTCAGCGAACAGAGAAATTGTTGTCTCCGTTTATTATGATCGAATGTTACATATACAAGAAGTAGCTCTCTTTTTTTTTTTTTTTTGAAGTTCCTATTTTCATTATAATAACATAAAACAGGAATACCTAAAATGGCATATGTACAAAAGAAATAAGTCTTTCACCATGGGTTTTTGCAGTAACTGTAAATTGTAACAATGCGAGCGAGACGTACTATCCAACAACACACAAGCGAAGGGATTAACTATGCATATATCGAAGCTAACCTATATTAAATACCGTTTTAATGATCAATGTTATATGCGCATTGCACGCACGCCGTTGACAGAAAGCTCCAACTTTTCTATTATTATCGACCCGATATTCGGTTCAAGTCGAATCCGGTTGCAAATTTTCGAGAGAAGTTGAAACCGGTATAACGGGTCCTACCCTTGCGGTTGACGTGACAAGTTGTTCTCTAGCTCTTATTACGTACATTAATGTATTGTAATAAGATATTAGGCGTTCTAAAAGGCACAAGCTGTTATTATTATTTTATATGCTCCAAATAACTAAAAATAACAAATACCCATACCGGCTCGTAGGAACTGGAAAGTCTTGGTTAACCACAAAAAATCCCAACTACCGACCCTACAGGTTAGTTGCTACACAAACTAACAATCCAGGTTTACCTGTTTAGGACGATGCAGCTCGCCAAAGTCGATACATTAATGTTGCGGCAGATTAAAGCGAAAATCGGATTAAAATAAAACCCTCATCACGTCTCGAAAAGGAGAGTAAATACTCTAGTAAACTCTTACCTACAGGAAATTTACCTAAAGCGAGAAGTAGTTATGATTTGGATTCAGCTGCAAGTATGAAGACAAGAATTGACTAATGTGTTGATATAACGAAGTCAAATTACAATATTAACATCGGCCATTATCTTATTATAACAATAATTTAGTGACTGTGACTCGAACTCTTTTTGAATGAACTTGTAATTTACGGCTTGTTTATGGCCTATGTGAGTTTATTCAACGGTTTAGCTCTCCTCCAATAAATACGATATGCTTGTGCTTATTATACCACTTGTCTGTAGTTAGGCAATAAAGTTCTACATTAAACTATATATTATATTGTGTTTTTTTCAATGACTTCAAGTTAATAGATTCCTTGTCGCCAAAAGAGTCAATAAAGACGTTGAAAGATGAAACACTGTCAGAAGAAAAAAGACAGCAGTTTGTGCAGGTATATTGAAACTTTATTTTCATCACCATGGTCTTTTTATGGCCAATTCTGAGCTGTGCGGCTTATTTTCAACTGGTTTAACCGGAATAAGTGGCGTTCGATGATGCGTCATTCAATTCATTTATTGTATAGGTCGAGGAGCCAGCATTCTTGACCTTGCTTAAGGTGTTGATTGGTGATGCTTTCTGTTTCCCCAGAAACCTATAGCTAATATCATGACGAGTTTACGTGGGGCGTTCAAAAGTTTTTGCAAAATAGCCTTATTTCAACAAACTACATAATAATAATAACTTTGGATGTTATTAAGCTAACCCTTTAATATAGCATCTATGCAGCGTTGCAACCTCATTCGCCAATATTCAAAAGATTTATGACACTCTTCCTGTGGATACTACTAGTAATTGCACGGCAAGCATTCACCGGCTTATAAAATTTAGAATATCTCAACAACCACAGATTCAAACCAAAGTTTGGTTTATTTGAAGATCGTGACCAAAACTTCATTTTATTTATCCTGGTTTGGAAAATTTTGTCAAACCCATAATGGCAAGTACTTTGCAAAAACTTTTTGAACGCCTCACGTAATACATCAGCGATGTACAATTGTAATACACATTTAGATTTTAGAGTAGCTATTCCAAAGTAGGATATAACAACAGAAATTCGGGAAGGTTCTACACTCTTTCCTGTATGGGATTTGGTCTAAGGCTCGACGGAATAACGGACTATCTCTTGCGGTGAAATAATACTTATGGTAATAGGCGCATCTGCCACTGACATACGCTAATAAGTTGTTAGTGGTGAAAGGAGATAAAGTACTGTCTTTGAGTACCATTTATTGCTTGATTGAAGCATTCGAGCAGCACGGAAAGCAAGGCATTAAAGATAAAGCATGCTTAAACAGGCCTCGCAAAGCTGTCACAAAAATGACAATTACGCGGCCCACTGATTATCATTGACTTTAACTGAATAAATAAAACGAACCTGGATATAATTATACTGAATAAAATTATAACCTCCTTATATTTATTAAAATTTCTGGACCCAGAGTCGGGACTTAGGATATAATTATACTGCATATTGTAAAATTTTACACCAGCTCTTGAGTGATGGAATAGCAAACCGCGGTATAGGCTATGGTATTGATACAATTCATTTGGATATAGCATCAAAGTGACACATATAATAATATAACAAAAGACTTTATTACCCTCGCAGAAAAGCAGTAATAACATACTGTATGTCTTTTTTAATATAATAATGGTCAAATAAATAGCACGTGATTAGGTTCTACTGTATATACTGAAATTGTATAGGGAGAATTCTCTGGTTTCAGAGGGGCATCTATTACAATAATAACAGTCTATTTTTCCGCGTGTACTTATGGAAACAATTATATCGATACCATGTATGCTTTACTATTGTTGACAGTCGCAGACTCTCACACTCCTTACTGCATATCTTCCCATCTAACATTCGAACACGCGTCTACTCATACATATATATGTCGTACCTCAGTTTGGGACCCGTCTCAGTTCCGGGGCTATTATATAAATGTCTATTATGACGGTTAACTATACTTTCACGTTTTGCTGCTGTCATATGTAAATAATGTAAAGTCCGTCTAATCCCCAAAGCCACATTCACATGCACAAAACATAAGTTTCAGAACGTTTATTTCTAAAAACATTGTATATGTATCACTGTCATAAAGAGAATCATATAACACATATGATCGAATAACGTTAAAATTGTCAACTTCATGTTGGTCTAATTCCGGATATGTGGTTATTTAAAAGTCTGTATCCAGGTTTTCCTCGAAGTCTATATTTAACTGTTCTTCACTTATGATTTCGTTATCATCAAAGTCGTCCAATAGTGCATAGTATGTCTGTGGATTTTTATTGAACACCAGTTCATATGGCATACAGTTTGTAACTCTGGTGGATACATTCATTGCATGAGTCACTATGGAAAGACCCTCAGTCCAATGTTTACTTCTGTTGTATTCCATCCACTTGGCAAGCTTAGTCTTTAAAATGGCATTTCCCCTTTCAACAGAGCCTTGTGACTGTGGATATCTTGGACTACCTTTGTGCATGGCTACATAGACATGAGCTCTTTGATAATACTGGACATAAATTCTGCTCCATTATTGCTCTGTAATATCAATGGGGCACTGAAAACCATAAATACATTGTACAACCCCTTGGCCACTTCCATAGAACTTTTACTTTTGAGTGGGCTCATCCAAAAAAATCTTGTAAAATGGTCATGCATATTAATATGGCAAATCCATTTGTAACCCTGATCTGGTGTGTTACCCACATATGTAAGATTGACCTGTACACAACTTAAAAAGTTTGTGGATACAATTGGTCTTGAAGATGACTGCCTAATTTTAGGTTTGTGTGTTGAACAGAGAGCACATTGCTTGATATAGGATTCAGTAATTGCCTGAGAAATACCCCAATACTGGCTTGAAACCTGTCCAAAATGCACATGCCAGATCATTGTGAATTTGGAGCTACTCACTAGCTTCTTCATTTCATAATAGATGGATTTGTGACACATGAATGAAAAGCTCTGTGGGAAAATAGAGTTTTTACCCAGCTTTCATCCAACACTGTAGTCCAGTCATATTTGCAAAATGCCAGTTTGCCATCCAACATCCTCTTTTTGTGGGTTAATGCATATTCTTGTGATATCTCTAGCCATAGAGCTGCAACACAATTCTAAATATGATCACAGTAAGTAGTTAACAAGACAGAGCATGCAAAGGGAAGTCAAGATTGCAAACAGCATCATATACCTTCAATATCAAGTGAAATGAGAAGCATCATAGTACTACTGATTCTTGCAAAATATGAGTCAGCCAAAGGAGAAGCTATCCATCTGCTTCATCTGGGAACATTTAACCTTTTGGAAGATTGTGATGTTATCAGTGTGACATTGACAAAGGAAATTGCAAGAACTAATTACCATATCCTTCTGAATTTAAGCACTACTTTTTTTAGGGGAAAATCGGGACAAAATTCCTAGTGGTGCTTAAATTCGGAAGTTTTTTTTTTTTTGTACGCCATACCCTTACTCCGCATCTTTTCTTTACGCAATGCCAAAAATTCAACGCTCATCATATTCTGCTGCTGAAAAGCTTAAAGTTTTGCAATATGCAGAACTTTATGGTATAAGAGTAGCTGCTCGTCATTTTAATATTGATCATTCAATGATTTCTCGTTGGGGAAAAATAGAAGAAAAACTCAAGTTAGCTAAAGGGAAAAATCGGCGTATTGGTTCAGGAAGAAAGGAAAAATATCCCGAAGCTGAGGCTAGTTTAAAACCGTGGCTTATAGAATTTAGATATAGATAGTGAATTAGAAGAGGAAGAATTAGAATAAAAAATATAATAAAAAATTTTTTTGCATAAATTTTGGGTGGTGCTTAAATTCGGGTGGTGCTTAAATTCGGAAGGATATGGTAGTCATGATTGTGGATAGATAGAAAATATTTGCTATGCTCCCAATGCTGACTCATGAAGCCATTACCTGTCATGGACATGTCCAGGAGCTTTGTTAACAACATGTCCACTGTCTTCCCCTTCCAGCCTCTGGCAATCCAATGTTGGATTGACGAAGAAAAGTGAAGATAATGAAATTTAAATTTGCACCAGAGTGACCAAAGAACATCAATGGCTTTGGGTCCGAGTATTTTCCTCCCATGCAATCACTCTGGTGCTTTTATATTTTCAAGAGAGATCGCATTTTATAATTAAGTCTACAATGTCGACTCTTTGCATCATAGTGAAACGCGAATCAAGACCCAATGAATGCGCTCAAGCAGTCCTTTATCAACAAGTTGAAAACTATAAGAAACAATCTTTCGTTGATAGGTCGCTCGGTCAGGTCAGTGGAGGCCTTGGTAAGAAGCGTTTACGTTAAATTTAGTTTCTTAAGTCTCTTCTATTTTTCGTTTCTTTCTTGGTTCATCATAAGTTGTTAAGGTTCGTTTATTGTTTATTATTTTTCGTTCTTCTTGATAAATTTCGTAAGTGATTTTTTCTTTATCTAAATATTCCTGGAGATTTTAATTTAAAAACGTATGGAGCAATTTTTCTCCTTGAGCTTTCTTCTAATAGTACTGTAATTCTTTGGTTCCATAGTGGATTTGATGTAGATTAGTTTCATATTATATTTTTTATATAGAGGTAAGCCTATATGAAATATATTACTATTATAATGGTAACTTCAAGTTACTTGATACCAAATTAATACAGACTTATGATGCAACTAAAAATTATCCATGAATTCAGACATGCATGGGCCACAATTATGCCACTGATAGTCACTCTAGCAAATTTTTTAGCCACAATAGTAATCTTTAATGTTCACTTTGTCTGGTTTTGTTACAGTCTGCCCATGTGATTCATGATCTTGTATGCTAACATCGAGAAGATAGTACCCAATTGATAGGTATGCCATGGTAAAAATTCTTTCATCTTATATTTTATTGGCAGCATTATTAAATTGACAGAAATGGTTAGGGGTTCGTCTAAGATTCAAATGGATATTCGAACGGTTTTGGCGGTGGAGCTTCTTCCTCCTCTTGCACTTCGGTAGCTACATTTATTTTTGACGAAATTAGTAATATACTAAAAGCTTAACCTCTGATATTACAAATTACTTACCAACTGGCGCGCTGGGCAAGATCAGCTCTTCTAGTTCATCGGGTTTCCTATCTATCATCATAGTGATGCCACCAGTAATCTCCTATCAGAAGGAGAATATATAAGTATACGATAGGATACGATAGGGTAACGGATAAACTATGTCACTACAAATAGACGATCAATACCTTTTTCACAGGAGTATATCTTGAATCATCTTTAAATGATATATGTTGCAACTGTGCAGGTAGCACGCGCGCCATGTTCTTGAGAACTTCAAAGGACTCCTCTTTCGGCTTCTTCTTGGCTTTTTTATCTTCTTTTATTTCTTCCTGCGGAGGCTAATACAACAGAGTTTGTCAATAAACTGTATGTAGACGTGCAGTTTTGAAAACTATTAGCATACCTTGTCTTCCTCTTTCTTCGTTTTATCCTTCGTATCATCCTGAGATTCATTGTAAAAGAGAATTAACAACTTAATTTAATATAATAAATTGTGACATTGATACACTCATACCATATCCATGGCTTCCCCATCCAATCCCTTTTCTTTCTCTGATTTTCGTGCCCTTGCTTTGGCTTTAGCTGTCGTCGAAAGCACTGCAGTTGCAACCTATGAATTCAATTGGTAAGATTGTTATTACAATTATCACATATTATGTATCTATGTCCCATATATAACTTACCTTCTCAACTACGTTTGTCGTCGGCGGTTTTGTGGTGGCAGGATATGCAAATAATGATGGCTTCGCATTTGAAACATACTCGAATTTGGGAATCTATAAAAATAAAAAGAGGCTTATTCAGTCAGAGCTGTCTCACATGTTAAATAATAATCTAATTATCTTTTCTCCCAGTATTTTAACCTAACCTTAAGGTCCTTGTTTAATCCGATTAGAGCGGTAGGCGTAAATGCCAAGCTCAAGAAATGAGTCAACGGGAACCAATACCAGAGTTGTGTGAAAACAGCCATTCCAACAATCGCGGGCATATTAAGCTGACCGGATCTTGTCAATAGAGAAATTGTAACATTTCGTCCACCTAGTTTACGGCAAGAAAGATTTAGCGCTTTTTACAGAAATACGATACCAGAGATCGAATTAATTACGTACCAGCATCAATAACGCCTTGCCCGAGAACAGCCCCAAACTTTGCCATGGCATCCTCGTGTTTATCGTTGATGATCTTCTCATACAATTTACGCGTTGAGCTTACCTTTAAAGAGAATAAACTGTCAACACAATACATTACAACAATTTTAGTAGTCACAGACTCTGAATATACCTTGGGGTTCATGGCGTCATTCTGTTGTATAAGAATCATGGCAAGTGAGATAAAGGCACCTTGTCGAACGAAATCTACAGGGTCCTTCGTCATCGGCTCCAACAACTCGATTGCTTCCTATAAAAAAAACTTTAATATACCATATTTAACTACTACTTTCATCATGTAATTAAATCAAATTTACCATTAATCCAGTTCCCGCGCAGGAAATACCCAAAGCCAGAGTAGCGCCATATCGTACGTTCGGATTGTAACTCTCTGACAATAATTGCACTATCCGCGGTACGTGTTTAGGCGTCCTAAACAACAGGAAACCGAGTGCTGTCACGGCTGCTCGTCTGACATCGTCATTGACATCGCTGACTGCCACATGTAACAATCGTCTGATAGCCTTATTATTTCCCGTGCCACAATAAGCTAAGGCTACTGTATAAATACCACCATATCGAAGTATGGGATCCTAAAAAATATTCTATGGTCAGCTTTCCGTCTATTTCCAAAGCGCCAGACTTACGAAGAGAGAACACAGGACTTGCTTACTTTATCTCTTACTAATGTTTCAACTAAGACTTCTGCAGCCTCTTCCTTGCCGTACATTATCAAAGCGAGTCCCACAGCTATACCTCGAATGATTTTCTCGTGTTGTGTGTCATGAGCATATTGCAACATTTCGTCTATTGCTCTTTCGGATGCAGTCCCAAGCATAACTAAACCCATTGCTAGACCAGCTGCTTCACCAGCAACAGCGCTATCACTAAATAGAACAGTCTTGAGTTCGTCATATATTTCTTGATTACGAATAAGGAGATTACAAACCCAATTTATCAGGTTAAATATGTATTATGATAGAAAATAATGAGATTTTAAAGCCTTGTAATATAATAAATACCATCGTTTCCAGTCGCCATGCCCGCAGCTCCTAATCCCAAACATGCTCCATGTTGGAGAACTTCCGTCGTTGTATTCTTCAAAGCATTTTTCAAATAATCCAAAACACCCGCTCCGTGGTTTGCATGGATCAGGCCGAGAGCAAATAAAGAACCTCCTTCTGAATACGAGCTTACGCTTACGCCATCTCGAGGCAAATATTGTGATAGCAAAGCAAGACCTTGTGAGAGATGTCCCTAACACGTCCCGCAAAAAAAAAAAAAAAAGGAGGTGAGGGAAGAATCGTTGATTATATTACGATGTCATATCTATGTCTTGCAACAAATGTAAATCCAATCATAAAGCGCCATACTTTCTGGATTACGCCAAGGGCTGCTGTAGCACTAAACTTTGTCCAGTTACTTGCTCTTGCAAGCCATTCCATATTCTGGCGGAGAAATTCATCGCTTGTAGTGCCAGCATTCATAAAGGCATTTGCAAACGTAACAGCGGAATGATATACGGAATTTCGTGATTCAAGAGCACCCTATTAAAACGTTCATCAGATATCAGTAACTAATTTGACACGAGGATAAACTCTCAAACATCTTTTGATACTCACTTTAGTATTCTTCAGTATTAACAAATCAGTATGGTTATTTCTATATAAAAACTCCAGGTGCAACTTGATAGATTCTTCGCCGGATAGAATACTTCGAATTTTAGAATATTTCATGTCTATAGGGTTTTCCGGCGGCTATTCGAGGACGAGAAATAACTCAATTATTAGTATATAAAAAAAGTCTATTTTTTCTTGTCTCGACTCCTACTTTCAAAGACTCACTGGCTCATCGGTATCCATGGCATCCTCTCGCGTGCCCTCGTCTTGCGAAGAGCTGGCAACTGCGTAAGGTGAGGGCGTTGGTAGCAAACTGCTAACTTTCTGGAGAAACTCTTGTGTGGCATTCTCTTCGAGGTCGAAGGCCAATTGGTAGGCCATTAATAAATAATACTAAATAAAATGAATTCAGTAAGCCCATTATAATTGGCCTATTTGCAATATTCGTTATAACGAACGCAGCTAATTTGCTTACATCCTCATCTTTAGAAACAAGATCTTCCAACAATTTAGCAGCAGATGCCGGATCATTCAGATGTACAAAGCATTGACTTATCGATACGTAATCGGGTTCACTGAGATTCTGATATAACTTCACCAAAAGTCGTAACACCTATTCAAAGTGTAAGAACTAGTTATTCAAAGCACATATCATTCCATCTCACGTTAAACAGATAGCCGTGAAGGAAAGCTCAGTACGACATGATTGTCTCCGTACATCACCTTGTTGCGAAAGTCCAGACTATGCACCAGAGTCATGCTCACGTTTAAAACATAAGATAATAAATCTGCGGCATCTCCCAATCTCATTGCTTCTTCAATGATATCTAATCGTCTAGCTTCCAATGCAATACCAATTGCCTGCAAGACAAATAAGATAGGTTGTAAGTAAATGATACGTACATTAGAGTTTATCATTTTAATTAATAAGCGAAATTAAAGATCACCTGTTTGTATTCACCATCGTCGTAACACCTTTGGAACATGCGCTCAACGACATCTTGTAGTCGAGGATCGATTTTTGGTTCGCCTGCAGGGCTATCATATTGCTGAACACGCAGGCTAATGTATTTGTCAATACATTTGGCTATAGGAAACAGTAATCGAAAAAGATGTCTTGATTAGTTAGAATTAGAACTCAAACAATATTAAATCAATAAAATAAAATTTTCTTATTCCTTGCGAGCATAGATACTCATTGTCAAGTTTATAATTTGAAACGTACATATAATTGTTTCTACATATTCTGATTTAGAAGACGCGTCGAATAAGTGACCGGCTCCGAGTGCAAATGTCAAAGACTCATCAAATTCACCAAGATGGTAATACACCTACGGATTGCGCATGGTCATGAAAATGAGATCACAACAACGTTGGTAATTTGGGCTTTTCAGTAAAAGGCTAGTTTTGAATCGCTGTTCAAACCCCATTTTTGACCAACCTTTGATGCAACGAGAGCAGAAAGTTCTCGTTCGGGAAAATCCTCGTCTTCATGTAGAATTTCACTATTTAGAATATAGAATTTACCAAAGAATATATAAGGGTTAATATTGAACATATACCAGGCAACAGCAGTCTCAATGGATATGTGAACCAGCACATTTAATGACTAATTTTTTAATGTGACTCCAACAACTAGAAATCTAACTCCAGAGCCATTCATACATTTTTGCGACAGAGTCCGATATCTCTGCCCAGAATTGGTCGACAATCGTATTCAATTTTTGCAGGGCATATATCTTGAGTTGTTCCTCAGGTTCGTCCAGTAATGAGATAATGCCACCTTCAAGTGATTATGATTTATGAGATTTGAAGATCGAGGCGATCTAACCAAAGTCATCACCCATGTTCCAGTACATACTTACCTGCAGAGGTAAGTCCAACCATGTCGACTGGAGTAAGTATGGGTTCTGTAGGCAAAGCCCAGAATGTAAGGAAAAAAAGCAGGAATGAAAAATTACGTGTATGCTTTACGTCATCAGCTGTGACATGATGCTGAATCAACATGTCCCAAATTTGGTATGCTTAAAAATGATCTGCATACTTTCCTTTTTCATTTATGCATTATGCTCAGGGGGCGAGTTTCCTTTTTTGAAACAGTGAATTAAATTGTACACGCGTGTGGATGGTTTGTTATGGTTTGTTATGGTTTGTTGCGAGAGCTATTGCGAATTGCAATTTCAGATCGATACTGTTTTGGTGGGAAGGGTATAGTAAACGACACCATAGGAGTACCAGGACACTAGAAGATCAAATAAATGATAAAGAAATAAGAGATCATTTTACGTTACGGTGTTGGACTAAAAAATGAATCGAAACATAAAGACAAAATTTGAGAAGCATAAATTGCTTGAGAAACATATTCTTACAAATTCTTCAGAAAATAATAATAGACTATTATTCATCGTCAAACTGAGTACGACGTTAGTGAATCAAATTCGCTTCATCGCACAAATATTACATCTAAAATTATCAAATGACTCTTGTGTTATCGCAGTCATTAAATGATTAAAATAATTAACGACTACATAACTGTTAGCGGAATTGGGGAACGTGATGCCATCTTTCCAACTGGGAAATAATAAATTCCTATTTAACAAATCAAAATATTATCTGATAACAATGATGCCAATCGCGGCTTTTTGCAATTCGAACTTAGTATTAGTCCAGCATGCATCAGCAACAATGAGTAACATGTCAAGGTTGCTAAGGAAAATAGGAAGTCGCTCCAGTGACTTTGGAATATAACATACAGCAGGGAGGTAAATGTGCTTTCCAAGCTTGGCATAATATAATTTATAGTATTGACCGTAGATTAAGATCTGAGCTTTTTAATATGTTGAAGCCTCAAACCTTGGCCCAAGAAATACTATATAGAAACCCTCAACCAAATCTTCAATTAAACATTTGGCCACTTGTACCATATTTGTACAAGGCATATTGACATTTTTGGCCTGCTCATCAGTGAGGTTGAGATTTAGTAAACTATTCAAAGTAGACTGGTTAACTTACAATAATCACCAACAGCCTTGTGAGGGATTACTTCTGATGCAAATTCCCCTGGTGTAGTCTTTAGATAAATACCAAGTGCCAGTTATTATCTGCTCTCCCATAGTAGTCGGCACGACAGTGCCCTATAATGCAGCTATAATCAAATCATATATTACAACGCCGGTGAAGTCAATTAAACCTCTCGTCTACAATTCTTAGAATTAATTCAGTTATCAGCAATTATAAAATAATTCACGTCGAAGTCGATCGTTTTTTTCCTTAAAATACGCTTCATTAACGATATTATTAGTTGTTTTCTGAACAAAAGTGCTTAGGAGGCTAAAATAAGCCGGAAAGCCAGCTTACGGAAGCTAGAGTAACGTCTAGAAGTGGAGCTGGAATATCAGAACCGGCAGATGCGTATGTAATTTTTTTATGTCATGCTGTGCTGAAGAGGCTAGAGGTTGTGGCACAAATACGTTTAATTTTATACGTGCGAGGGGAGGCCCAAACGGAACATGCCAGATTATCAATAAATGGGTGTGAGTTTGAACGAACCACGTTTAAAAGGCGTGGGGCTAAAATTCGGAGCCGTTAACTCCACCGAATAGCAAAATCAAGTACGAACGAAACTTGAATACATTAACTACACTTTAATGAATAACACGCCCAAACAGAACATGTCAATCCATTCACATGCATTATTGTTTATTGTTTGTGCATTACCGCTTTACAATAGTAGTAGTAGATGGGAGAAGTTTCTCGCAAATTTTGCACAGCCACGTACTGATTGTTTGCTAAAATAGGGCAGTTCACATGCATCATAAATGGCCAAAATCGGAGGATCCTGTGATTTCAAGCTAATCGGAGACATGATTTCTTGACAAAATTTATAATGCAAAATAATTTTAATACTTCCAGTATACTTTCAATACTAAATGGGGGTCATTACGTGTATTAATAAAGTGTACGACGTCTGTAGTAGAAATGTGTGATATAATCTTTGACGGGTACGAAGAGCTAGCGGCTAACTGAATAAATAAAACGAATATCAAGTTGTAGAAGGCCTTTTGTAGATTTTACAATAAAATTGTAAAAGCACTTTACAACTACAACGAATTGTATATATACCCCCTTTACAGTCGCTGGTTTCAGAAAAACTGATAGTGTGACTGTAGAGAGGGACAACCATATATTCAAGCAAGCAAAAGAACATCTGTTACAATAATAGTAGTCATTATTATAAATATAATACGTAAAAAAGACTTATTATATCACTATATACAGGGAGAATTACCATCCAATTATTGTTCGGCTAGACAATCATACGGACTTTACGCTTTTCTTATCATATTGCTTGTTATCGATCTCATCACTATCAATCGTGACAGTCAGTCGCAAT